GTGAGGCCGCGCACGGGACCCCTCATGCCCCTCGCGTGGCGGCTCCCCGGCCGTCAGTCACCTCACCAACAGGCAACAGGCATCCGTCTCCCTCTTCCGCCTCCGGGCTCCGGCGCAGGTGCACAGCGGCGTCGACCCGTCGCCGGGTCAACTCGAATGCTGGCTGGCCCTATTATCTGAATCAGAAATTTGTAGCGCTAGAATACTAGTACCTCGACTCCACACAGCTGACTTCCAGGTGTTCAATCGTTTTGCTTTCGGTCAACAAAAGTTCGTATCCTAGTGCGGAAGAACAGGTCCCGGTTTGGACTTTGCATCGCACGAGACCTGACCAAGACAGCCGCGCAGTTATATGCTATGTTCGTTTGATCGTTTTTATGACTTATAAGTCAACTGATACTGTTTTGTTGTGAAACAAAAATACTGTATCATAACTGATACATCACCAAACCAACAGGATGGGAGTATGTGCAAATCAACTCAGGGCGCGTTTAGATGCAAAAATTTTTAGGTTTTGGCTACTGTAGCACTTTCGTTTGTATTTGGCAATTAGTGTCTAATTATGGACTAATTAGGTTCGAAAGTTTCGTCTCACGATTTCTCACCCAACTGTGCAATTAGTTTTTTTTTCATCTATATTTAGTACTCCATATATGTGCCGCAAGATTCGATATAATGGATACTGCGCAAAAAAAAATTGAGAACTAAACGGGCCCTCAACTCAACAGAAACAATTCAATCAGCTACGACCGCGCACATGTACACGAACAAGGACGTGGTGCATACGTACATGCGCAGCCGCAGTTCGAGACAAAAGGCAGTGTACGACTGGGCGCTCCACCGCAGACCGCAGCAGCAGAGTCCCGATCGGGAGCGTGCACGTCGCCGTACGTCAGCAGACTTAACGATCTGGACGGATTTGAGACTTGGCAAGTCGTCTCTTGGAAGTGAAGCACCCGGCGCCAGCCCCAACGAAGCAACGAGCACCCGCGCCGGCGGCGTGTCAGCCAGCCCGGGAATTGCCATGCCGAGAAGAGAAAGAAACGACGACCCGGGAAAGTCCCAGGAAGCCAGCCGGCCGCGGAGCGGCGGAGGAGACGTGGACACGGTTAACTATATTTGGCCATGCAGCCTGAGCCCGTCGGTCCGCCCTAAGGCCTATTTTTTTGCCCGGCCCAAGCATGGCCCGGCACGGAGGCTAGCGGGCCCGGGCTGGCCCGGCCTAGAGCAGCAGGCCGTGCCTGGGCCTTACCCCAGGCACGTGGGCCGGCACGGCACGACCTGCTACAGAGCAGCCGGCCCGCTAGTGGTCCGGCCTGTCAACCCCGCGCGGCCACGCCCCCAGGCCAGGGCAGGGCGACATTCAGCCCAGCTCCCTCTCGCCTGTCGCCTACCCTCGCCTCACCCTCACTCCCTCAGTCCCTCACCCCGAACCCTAAATCCTACCCTCTCCCTCTCGCCTCTCGCCTCTTCCCCGCGCGGCCGTCTCCCTCCCGCGCGCAGCCATCTCCCTCCGTGCGCTGACCTCCCTCCCTCCTTCCCTCTCCCTCGCCGTGTGCTGGCCACCCTCCCTCTCCCTTCTCTGGTGCGCTCGCCTCCATCCCTCCCTCTCCCTCCTCTGGTCCGCTCGGCTCCCTTCTCTTCCTTGGCGACGACGGCACATGGCCCTAGAGCGGCGGTGCGCGGTCCTCGAGGAGCGGCGACGCGCGGTTCTCGAGGGGCGGCGGTGTGGCCAGGAGCAGGTGGCGCATCCACCGAGCTCGCAGCCCCGACAAGACCCGGCGTGTGGCACTCCCCGGCGGGGGATCCAGGGTGGGCGCGCTCACCGGTGGCGGATGCAGGGCATGACCGTCCTCCGGCAGCGGATCAAGGGTGGTGGCATCCCCTGGCGGCGGATCCAGGGCGTGCTCGGCCTCCGCGGTGGATCTAGGGTGGTGGCGTCCCCGACGGCGAATCGAGGGCGGGCGGCGAGCGGCGTGTTGGGCCCCTTCCCCTCTCTCTCTCTGTGTCGGTAGCGTTGGGCCTCGGGCTGGCACGGCCTGTGAAATTGGTCGTGCCTCGCGGGCCAGCCCGGCACGGAAATAGGCCCATAGTGCCGTGCCTGGGCCGGAGGCCAGGCCCGTGGCCCTGTGAGGCACGGCCCGGGAAGCACGGCGTGCCGTGCCGGCCCGTTGGCTATCGGGCCGTGCTGGCACGGGCCCGTGCCGGGCCGGGCCGGGCCGGCCCGTTGGCCATCTATACGGTTAACTAATCCCCGGGCCACGCAAGGCCCCGCCACCGCACCGAGCGCGCGGCGCCAAGACAGCCATTCCTTGCGGCAGGCAACGGAGCCATCATGGCGTCACGCGGCCTCGCTGTTGCCTTGTTTATTACGGACTATCTGTCGCTGCTGGGTGCCGTCGGTCTCAGGCACCACCGAGAGCGAGCGAACCGGCGGTGACCTCAGGTGCTCGCTCTGGTTGCTCCAGTTCCCACGCTTTTACTGAACCATGACGGCTACGGCTACGGCTACAACTTCCGGAGTTCCGGAGCTGGCGACGAGAGTCCTGGAAGGAATGGAAGGACAGGCAGGCGGCCGGTAGAATAAAATTTCGTTGCAGTGCTGATTTGCTTGGCCGTATACTACTGACGACTGACGTTGCCCCAACAACCCGGCAGCCGCCATGAAATCAGCAGCACGACATGGTCGTCTCGGTCCTCCCCCAGCGCAACAAAAGTCTTCCAGGGCAAATGGAGTCCTCCCATCCCTTTTTTACTGGAGCAAAAGTCCAAAGCGGCAAGACTTTGGCTTGGCTCCGCTGCCTTTACAAGTGTTCCATCCGACCGTCCGCACCGGGCCTGCTTCCAACTACACAGTACGTTGGCATAAAATGGAGCTCTACGCCTCTAGCTCTGCTCCGTGCCGCTATGAACGTGAATACGTACGTGATCATGCAATCCTACTGGCTCGCTCTGTTGGTTCGAAAGGACTGCTCAATGGATCGATCGATCCAGCATTGCATTTGCACTGCAGTTATGATGCTCCAAACCAGGTGCATTCGCTTTTTCTGATAAGTCATGGCTGAAAATAGTGTTGGCTGATTTATTGTGAGAAAAAATATTATTCGTTGACTGAAAAAGTACGACTTATAAGCCAAGTGAACAGAACGATGATCGGGGGATGCCCCCGGCATGGGTGCATATTTGAGCTGCCCTTCTTTCCTGGCTGGATCTCTCCTCCGTGTCCGGGGTCCCATGCATGCCCATCCCAGCCCGCCGGAACAAAGAACAGGAACAGGCATCTTTCCACACGACGATTATGAATGGCTGCCACGGGATCCCGAATAATGCACGGCATGATTAACCAGACACGCCGTAGCCTTTTCGAACGCTCCGGCGGCAAGCTCTCGAGGAGCCTTTCCTCTCAACCGCGATGCTGTCCAGCCAGATCAGTGCCCATGCATATGCATGCTTCCACTCCTGTAGCACCCAAGAAAAAAGGACGGACGGACGAGCTAGCCAATGGTAACCCTAGCTAGGCTCGCGTAGCTTCCACACACACTCACATTGGCCGTTTCTGAGCTTTCGTAGCATACGGTTGCTTCGCCCCGTAACTTGAGACCGTGAAGCAGGGGGAATGATAAATGATGATCATACATCAGGCTTACATCACACGTCGCCATGCGTGAATAACGCAGCAGCTGCACTGCAGTGTGCGCGTAGACTTTGAGTGAATTTGTCAAGCGAAATTGAAAAACACTGGAGAATGTGAAAGGAGCATCTGATCCCCTCCTGCCCGGCCCATCCATCGGTGGTGATCGGTTTATACTTGTGCCGCGGATGGCGGATGCCCCATTGCGCCTCCCCTGGCCTGGGCGCCTGGCCAGGTGAAGCTCCCTCGGTGCGGCCGTGGTTGATCCGCTTGCCGGTGGCGTGACTCGAAAACGGCGTGGCTGGCTAGTGGTAACTTTTTCACAGCGGGAAAATCGTGGCTAGGTGCTTTGGCACATCTGCACTAGCCACCGCCCTGAATGGGCGCCTCCTAGAGGCTACAGCAGCATTGGTGGAGCAAGTGACGAAGAAACCGCACAAAGCACCAGGTATTCTGACCAATAAACAAACAACACCAACAAAGTGAGAAAACGAGGACATGTGTGCCGGGCCGGGTCGGATCGGGTCTCAGGTTGTGACTTGTGAGCTGTGTGACCAGTGCCCGGAACCAGATGGAACAAGATTTGACCAGTGCCCGGAAACAGATGGAACAAGATTCGACGTCACTGCTGATGGCTGCGTGCCCTCGATTGACTGGACGAAAACTCCACTCGACAGCACGACTTGGCATGCAGTGATGTCACACTTTCACTGCAGTGTGCAGTGAGCTTCTTTCACTGTGATATCTGCATCGAGCACCGTGAAGCAACAGCAATCTGATGAACCAGGTTTTACATCTCCTGAACCTGAAGCGTGACAGCTGACCTGTGTGAGGGAAGGCAGCCAAAATTTATAGGGCACGGTGCAGAACGGGTCTGGCGGGCGGCGGACCGGATCCGGCTGGGGGAGCGGATAAGGACGAGCTCGGCCTCGACCGGGCATGACACGAACACATAAGAGCATCGTTTCCTGTTGGTAATTTACCACCACTAGCGCTAGCCTATACCAGTGCTGTGATACTTTGTCGCGGTTGCCTGCGGCCTGCTTTCCCCCCGGTCTACAAAGACCTCAGCTTTCCTACCTCTTCCAAAGCCTTCGCCTTTTCCTCTCGTCTTCCCTCCCCCTCTCTCCCACTCCAAATCCCCCCTACCCCTACTCTCTATCTTTCTCTCCACACCCACATTCTCCCTGCTCTGCACCTTGCAGTTTTGGTTGTGGATCGCTGGAAATGGCAATCGACGATGAATCGCCGCTCAGAGTCAACACCAGAGGCGGCGGCACCGTGGTAACGTGGATAGCACACCCTCTTTTGTACTCCTTTTCTTTCGGTGCCCTGTTTCTTTGCTCTCTGTTGGATTGGGCTGGCGCTAATGGCGGCGCCGGATCGAATGCGGCAGGGAGGAGGCGGGTGCGACGGCGCGGAGAACCAGCGGTGGCCGCCGTGGCTCAAGCCGCTGCTGGGGACGAGCTTCTTCGGTCAATGCAAGCTGCACGCGGACGCGCACAAGAGCGAGTGCAACATGTACTGCCTCGACTGCATGAACGGCGCGCTCTGCTCCCAGTGCCTCGCCTACCACCGCGACCACCACGCCATCCAGGTGGGCACACCCCCCGGGGGGGAAAAAGTGGCATTTCTTGGCGTCGGATTGGAGCACCAGGCGCCGGGCTCTTTCTTGGAAAGAAACGGCAGCTCCAGCCGGCGCCCGTGCTTCCATCCAAAGACTCTTCTTGTTATCGGTCTCTCCTCCGTCGCGGAGACTTGTGGTAGTTGCATCCAAGGTTGCAACGGCCAATCTTTCCTTTCACGTTTTAGGGGGAAAAAATCCAAAGATGAGGATAACTGACTTTCTTGAAGTGGCAGCAAATGTGCCTGTTCCATCTGCGGCTTCTTGCTGACGGCGATGCATGCTCTGTTCGGTTGGTGTTGGTGGTGCAGATACGGAGGTCCTCCTACCACGACGTGATCCGGGTGTCGGAGATTCAGAAGGTGCTGGACATCACCGGCGTGCAGACCTACATCATCAACAGCGCGCGCGTGGTGTTCCTAAACGAGCGCCCGCAGCCGAGGCCCGGCAAGGGCGTCACCAACACCTGCGAGGTCTGCGACCGCAGCCTCCTCGACACCTTCCGCTTCTGCTCCCTCGGCTGCAAGGTACGCCGCCCGCCGCCAGTCCAATCCAAGGCCACCCCATTGTTCTATAGCTGGCATTCCCCGCTTCGCACGTGTGGTTTGCAATAACAACACCGTAGCACTAATGTCCCGTGGACGCGCCGCGCAGATCGTCGGGACCTCCGGCGACTTCCGCATCCGCAAGAAGCACGCCGCCGTCAAGAAGAAGAAGAAGCAGGCCCAGCACCAGCAGCAGCAGCACAGGGGCGCGGCGGCGGCGGCGGCGTCGGAGTCGGAGGACGACTCGTCCACCAGCACCAGCGGCGGCAGCGACAAGAGCAGCGTGGTGCAGAGCTTCACCCCGTCGACCCCGCCGGCGACCGCCAACAGCTTCCGCACCGGGAAGCGGCGCAAGGGCGTGCCGCACCGGTCGCCGTTCGGCAGCCTCATGGTGGAGTTCTAGACCACCAAAGGCGCGGGTCCGATTCCGATGCCGGCCGGCCGGCCCACGCGGCCGCCCTCATCCACCGAAAACAGCGGTACACCACTGTAGCATACGCACTTCTACATACCATCTATAGGTGTTTGCCGGATCGACCGGTCTACATACATAGGCATAGCCAGCCAAATAGTAACAAACGGTTTGGGTTTGGTGCCTCTAAAAGGAAACGAGCTAGTTGTAGCAGTTACTCTTGTCGTCATCAGCCGGTCACTACTAAGTTTTGCAAGTTTTACCTATAGGTGTTTTCCTAGTTTTACTTTTACCGGTGCTTGATATAGTAGTAGAAATGTACATATACATATACTGTCACAGATGGGGGAATGGTAGGAGTGTTCATATTCGTGTTTGCCTTGTTGCCTGTAATAAAAGGATAAGAATGCTGCTCCTGGATGGCCTTCAATGTCAAGGGTTTGTGTTGCTTGATTTGATGGTGGTTTCTCCTCTCCTCCACCCCTCTTTTCTCTGTACCATCCACCGCCTGGTGTCTGATGCTAGAATCCACCGTGCAAATGTGCAAGTGCAATGCAGGGGGGCTGGTGCTAGCAATGGAATGTGATTCGTCGCTGCGGTACGGCGAGCTGAGCCGTTCCCCCTGCCTAACTTTGGTTGACCCGCTGTTCGGCCCGGACAGCGGCCGGTCGATGCCGACGTTGTCGCCATCTTAGGCCATCGTCGCCGCTGGGCGGGCCGTCCGGGTGTCTTCTTTCCGCCCATACGGAAACGGAAGAGTAGTCACCACCCGCCCAACCGGCGTTCGGGCATTCAAATTCAACAGCATGTTCGGGAGGCCGTATCGTATCGTGGATTATTTACTGCTGGCTGATTTAGTATGAGAGAAAAACACTGTTCTCGGCTGAAAATTTACGATCGTTTACGAGTCAGCGAACAGGCTTAGCTCGCCCGCGGTAGGGCCCTCTCCCTCTCAGTCGACGCAATAAAGACGGATCGATCTAGCAGCCCAGATCCATGGGTCTGTACGGCGCCCAATGATCCGTGTGCTGGCAGGTCCACGTGCGGCTTCCGGGCTTGAAAGAATCCGTCTCCCCATCCAGAGAAAGGCGAAACGTGGAGCGCGCCCCCGGTTGGCCCTGCCGGCCGGCCTGCAGCCTGTGAGTTGTATTTGGCTGGTAAATTTATTAGTCAACGAATAGTATTTTTCTCTCACACTGAACCAGTTAACGGTATTTTTAGTTATGACTTATAAGTCAAACAAGCTTAAACGAATAGGGCGCAGAGGATGCTTGCTGGCGCAAGTGCGCTTTGGCATTGTGTGTGTGCGGACAGGAGAGTGTGGGGGTGAGCACGTCCATGCTTGCCGTGCCGCCTGCGCCGCGCCTTGTGCGGCGTCCGTCCGTCCCACTCGCGCGCGCCGCGCGGGCGAAGTGGCTGGAAAATGCGCCCGCGCGGCCGCGCCCACCAGGGCGGCCACCACCCACCACCCACCACCGTACCCTGCCCCCGCGCGTGACGCTGCCATAGGCAAACGCCGCCACCCACCCACCACTGGCCACCCGCCCCCCGCGTCGCACGCACACGCACGCCGAGGACTTTCTGCCGCCGCGTGATGTCACTCGCTTCCTGCCCCCCATCCGTCGCTACGGAGTACGGACACCGGTTCGGCCTCGCACCCGGCCGTCCGTGACGCGATCGGACGGCTGTGTCTTCCTTGCCAGTCGTCGCTACGGTCTGCGGCCGGCCGGCACCAAATTACCGTGGGACTCACCAGGCAGGCCCCTCCGATGGGCCATGGCAGGTAGTAGATACTACTCGTAGATGTAGATCAACTGGCCGAAGAAGATTTGGATGTGGATTGGATCGAATCGCTGGCGAGTCATGGTTCCGGGGGATATTTGGGGAGTTCCTTACTAGTTTTCCACGACGAAAGCAACGGGGAGGGCCACACCACCGTACTTGCTCGGTTCCTTTCCGCGAAACGTTCGGCGTACGAGCTTCCTTCTCTACTGAATTTTGCCAAACAATGGCCGGGAACCGGGCCCCTCGACGCGTCCATCCTCCTGCCAATCAATGGCTTTCAAAGCTCCTCATTTTATTTGAGAAAAGGGCCTTTCAATTCTTCGCTGCTTCCTGGTGGAGTGGTGGTGGTGACCGGTGTCACGAGGGTGTACGTACGGTTCATGCTCACCCAGCACAGGCTTTCGAGGCGAGAGGAACCGATCAGCGAGTGGGCGGCTTCATGCCCACCACCACTGCTTCCTATCCTCCTCCAATTCACCGTGATAGTGGAGCTGCCTAGTGGTATGGTGACAGACAGTCAGTACTACTGCCCCCACTCCGCCGCCTCGTGCGAGCACCCGCTTTTGATCCGATAAGTTTGTAGCAGCAACAACAGCAACATGAGGAAAGAGAGGATCATCCGATACAACAAAATTTTGCTAAAAGAGAAAGCGATATAAAACAGAAGACAACGCTGTGCCTCAGTGTGTGTGGGGAGAGATTCTTCTGAGCAATCCCCGCACCGCAACGACGAGTGAGGCCTATCATGAAGAAAAGGGCGTGTATAATGCACAACGACACGAATCCAGTGCCCTTTCGAGCGGATCAGATGGAACCCTAACGAAACTCCTATCAAACCACTTTTTATTTGCGGGGTCAATTAGCCTGTTCGTTTGGCTCCGGCTTGTCGTAAACGATCGTAAATTTCTAGCCAAAATAGTATTTTTCTCTAACACAAACCAGCTAGCAGTACTTCTTCACGAAACAACAACGAAACGAACCAGCCAACCAAACAGGCTGAATATCGCCGCTTTTCCTCGTGTTTATGACACATCACCGAGATCGCTTTCGTCCCAGCAGGCCAGCACAGTTCACCTCACATGGCACAGGTCGGTTTTTTCTGCCCCCGCTTCGGCCTGAAATTTATAACGAGGAAAATTCTGAAAGGCTGAGCGCGTGTTCAGTTCTCATTCAGATTCCCAAAAAATACTATAGTACTGTCACATCAAATCTTACGATACGTGTATGGAGCATTAAATGTAGACGAAAAAAAACTAATTATACAGTTTAGTTAAAAATTACGAGACAAACGTTTTAAACCTAATTAGTCCATGATTGAACACTAATTGCTAAATAAAAACGAAAGTGCTACCGTAGCCTAAAATCCATACTTGGACGCAACTAAACACGCGCTGAGCGACTTTGTTGAGGACAACAAGTGGTGTCAGATTTTTCTTCGTCCAGTCATTCAGTGCGTGCGCGTCTCGTTCAAAAGGAGACGTTGAAAGGGTTCTAGGCCCGGACTAGGTCCCAGGAATCAGGCCCTGCTGCCAGGAAGCTCATTGCTTAAGAAAGCAGCAAAGGTTGAATGATTTCTGGGTCCTACGAAATTAGGCCTGAATCAAATGGCAATCATCATAATCTCTAGTACTCTCTTTCATATGTTATTGGTTTTTTTTAGAACACACAAAAAAAAGCTCAGCGAGCTTGGACAATTCTGGTTACATCATCAGTAACAGAGCGAGCTCACTAGCTCGTCAATGAAGAAGTTCACGTTGGCTTCCAGTTTCTGCATTTACCATGTTCCTACTTTTCTCTCAGCCGGCTTGTTCGGCTTCTTTTTTCAACCGGAACAGTGTTTCTCTCTCACAACAATTCAGTCAGAATTTTCAGCCAGTTTCGATTAAAATTCAGCAAACCGAACAAGACAAGGCGGTGGATCTTTGGCCTTTTCAAGCTCTGGGCCCAACTCACCATCAGGTTCCTTCATCCTACTAGAAGTAACCTGCCACATTGCACAAGACTCCAATTCTACTGTAGCACCTTCGTTTTTATTTGGCAAATAGTGTTCAAACATGGACTAATTAGGCTCAAAACGTTCGTCTCGCAATTTTCCACCAAACTGTGCAATTAGTTTTTCTTTTCGTCTATATTTAATGCTCCATACACGGGCCGTAAACATTCGATGTAACAGGTACTGTAGCAACTTTTTGAAAGTTGGGGTGGAACTAAACAAAGCGATAAGAACTAACTGACATAAATAGGGCCAGCGTGGTAGAGAAGAGAGCAGATGCTGCTAGCCTGCTAGGGCTAGCCTAGCTGCTACAGTGCACAAAATGGCGCTTGTCTTTTTCAGAGATGCTGCATTGTTCAAGAGAATCTAACCTTTGTAGGACCAGAATTTACTAGTACAAGGGACCAGTGCTGGCGCACCTCATTATCTTTGTTCATATATCAGTAAATGCACCTGTCCGAGAAAGAATCACCCATCTCTGATCTCTCTGAGCCTCAAATAGTAGAGCCCGTGAATAGATTGAGCAACGTGACAAGATCCAACAAATACGGAGGACTAGGCTTGGAATGTCCAGCTCCCAGTTCTGCCTCCCGAAGAACTTGGCGGAACCCTCAAGGTGTATTATACCAACTCATGACTTCAGCTGACCTGCTGCTGCCCATAGCTTAAGCTTAGGGCCTGCATTGTAATCTGTTTGGTAGAAAGGAGTGAAGAAGATGACTAGGAAAAATCAGACTGCCTTTCACAAAAAAAAAACAGACTCCAATTCAACGTTTTTGAATGTGTTGTTGGGCATCATCTCTACACCAAAGCCTGTTATTTTTAGCTGGCAGAACAAAGAAACAGGGCTGATAAAAAGCAGATCGAATTCTAGATCGCACCTGAATGCCACTTGCGAATTTTAGGTACTGAATGATGAAAGCGCAGTGGCGTTTTTTTTTCCAGATGAAATGTGCAGTGTTGGGCGTCCACAGACAATGAATTGGTCTCAGCCCCCGCTCACATTATCCAGCTAGCGGCACCCACACATTATTCCGAAACGAAATCCAAGCCGGCCCAAAAATGTCACGGTCAGGTCAGGGGCAGAAGCGTCCTCAGCCAGTCCAACGGCCTCCCGAGGCCCAGGCGCCCAGCCGGCCAGCCCCACAAACTCTTCCCACTTCCCAGCCCGAACAACAAGCGCCGCACGCTCCGCTTCGCTATGGCGCTCTCGCTCGCGAGCAGCCCCAGCCCCGGCGCGGCGCTCCCCGCGCCGCGGGTTGCCCACTTTGCCCTTCCTCTCCTTCCGCTCCGCTCCCCTCGCCGCCTGCACCAGGCGCGGCTCCGCCTCCGCCTCCGCGTCGCGGCGTCCTCGCCCCCAGAGGCGCAGGTCGCCGCCCCCGTGGCGGAGGAGGGGGAGGAGCAGGGGGAGAAGCGGCGGAAGCTGTACGTGGCCAACCTGCCCTGGTCCTTCCCGGCGCCGGAGATCGAGAAGCTCTTCGCGCAGCACGGCACCGTCAAGGACGTCGAGGTGGGGGTGGGAGGCGCGATCGATTTCCGTGAACGCAATGCCGCGTGCCCTGGAGAGCCGTTGAGGCCCGCGTGCGTTTAGGGTGTCCGAGTTTGAATTTCCAGTTGCGATATTCAGCTTTTGTTGCGTTTGTTTGGCAGGTCATCAAGGGGAAGGATGGCAGAAACAGGGGGTTCGCGTTCGTCACGATGTCGACGGCGGAGGAGGCAGCCACCGTCGCTGAGAAGCTTAACTCCCATGTGAGCGCGGCCTTGATGTCTTTGGTTTGCACCATGCTGTAGTTTCACGATTGAGCATCAGATAGACAGAGTAGATGTGAAGTAGAAGATGATATATAAATTGCGTCTTAGGGAATCCAATCCATTGACCTCACTTGCATTCTCCTCCACTGAGGCTTTCAGCAACTTAGTGGATATTAACGGCTCGCACTTTACGTGGACATGGATTTACTTGTAATAATATCACTTCATGATTGAGTTTTCTATAACATGGGCCGAGTTTATCAGTCATGTATCATCATCATTGAGCTAATCATTAAAATGTTGACACCTAAAGATTTCTCCAAAATAAGATACTAACATTGAGAATAATATTTTCTAGGATGTAATGGGGCGGGCAATCAAGGTGGAGTTTTCAAAGAGCTTCAGAAAACCAGCTCCGCTTCCTCCTCCTGGCACCATTATAGAGAGGCACAAGCTTTATGTGTCCAATCTTCCATGGAAAGCAAGGGCTCCCAATGTTAAAGAATTCTTTGCAAAATTTAACCCGCTTTCTGCTAACGTTATATTCGATAATGGAAAAGCAGCTGGGTATGGTTTTGTTTCCTTTGGGACAAAAGAAGAAGCAGAGGCTGCTCTCACTGAGCTTGATGGAAAGGTGTTACATACAAACTTCTACCTTACGTTTTTGTTTGTGAAGATATATAGCATACCTCCGTCACATGCCTCCACTAGATAAAAATAAAAATGCCTTATCAATTATCAACTGTATTCTCTCTCCATCTGTTTTTGATAATAATTTTGAGGACCCTTGCCATTGACTTGCAACAACAGACCTGCTATAGTGTTATCATACAGTTAGATGAATTGTCTGTCTCTGTCCCATTTTGCCATTCCATATTTTTATAAAATCGAATGTAAGATGTATTAAACTACAAGCACATTAAGGCACTAAGGTATCAGATTTATATTTTGTCCTTTATTTAGGAACTTATGGGAAGACCTGTACGCTTGAATTGGCGGGAAAGTGGTGATGATAAGGTTGAAGTTGCAAAGGTCGACAGTGAAGTTGAAGTTGTAAATATTGAAGGAGCAAGCGTTGATGATGCCAGCACGGATGGAGGTGAAGATAAACAGGAATAGTCAAACATACTATACTGGCCTACGGGAAGAAAGTTCCATCCACCTTATTGATATAAACACAGATGTGGAACCTTGTTGTACAGTTACAAGTTTTTTCCTACACTACCTGGTGCGTAAGTGCATGATCATTGTGCCTATAATTGCACTTACTACTCATGGTTGGTACTTGAACTAATTTGTTTCTATGAAAATTTAATTCCATGACATCATCGGAATACTTCTGATTGATCATACACATTTGAGGAATCTTTGATGTGCTGTAGTTTGCTTCACTACTTGTGAATACTGCTTTCTGAAATTTTATGTATTTTATCATTTACCTTGCAATCATGAGTAGTTTCATGCAGCATGAACAGCTAGTAATCAGCTTGAGGTTCAATTTCATTTCATAATGACGAGGGAAGCAAAACCATAATGCTCAGTTCACTTTGTATTAAAATTTGAAGCTTGAGAGAAATTTGCCATGGGTCATACGCTATCATACCAGGAGCATCCAGAAAAAAAAAACTCTGTTCCTGCAGTATATTTTAATTGGCAAGTTATTAATATGTTATTTCTTGGGAACTCAGATCTAGTGCTTGCCTTTTTTTATATATGGATGCGGAATAAGAGGTGGCAATCATAATCAACACTCAATTATCATTGTCTGCCTTGGTCCTGCTAAGGTAAAGGCCAACAAAAGGCATTAGCTCTAACTTCAGGTGAAGTAATGTCCTTGTAGCTTGCAATTGTATTCAATTCCAGTTATGTTATTGTGACAATATTGTACTTATTTATATTACATAATCGATCAAGTTTCTCCTGCTGACACACTTGCGATCTCCTAATTTTGGATGAATTCTCATTAGCTTAGCTTCCCAGTCAGATTTCTTTATGTACAACTCTTTCTCTCAGGGAACCTTGGCTGGCATGTGTCCTTACTTAAGTATGTAACTACGGTTGTTTCTTGTCATATCTGATTTTTATTTCAACCTTGAAAAGCTTCAGTTTCTTTCAACCCTCGAATCCAAAAAGGGTGTACTTATTTTGTTCAGTATTTACTGTAGATGACCATATCTTATCTAATTGCAACTCCATGCTTTAGCGATGAAAGTTGTATCTCCTTATTCGTTTGCCAAAATGTTGAAGTTCTTACACTCTTCTCTCTCAGGTTATATAGTTAGATTGAAATGTGTTTTTTTTTTTTATAAACCTAATAACTCATTATACACTCTTCGAGGTCGATGTAGTATCGATTTTAAGGTTACTGAATCATAGGTTTCTCTGTCGCCCTGAATAACAATAGTAATAATCTTCAACTCTTACTAGTGCAGTCAAAGTGATCATTCAACAAACACTAATCAGTGACCTAGATAAATGCTAAAGACACTTAAAACAGAATATCCTCAGCTTCACCAGTGTTCGGCTTGTCTCAGTAGCTGAAGGGTTGCCTTTCCTCTCTCTCTCTTTTGTCCCCAATGTATTCATGCTTATGTTATTATACTCAGCCATAAGTCAGTTATATCAACTACTGAAGAGAATTAGGGTGCGTCCATAGCACCTAGTGCATGCTTAATGCTCATATTTTCCATTTCCTAATGATGCTGCTGGCTCTGAAGTTCAATTCTCCATGGAATCATTGGTACAACAAAGGTTGGCAGTTGCAAGCTAAAACTAAGAAAAAACCCAGCAGAATTGGTTTTGGGGGCCTTCGACCTTCCTCAGTTCCTCTATCCAGCCCTATGGATTATTAATCTGTTTTGGATATTTCAGTACTTACATCTCACTGTAATCACTTCATATAAACTTTCGTAGACTTCCTTTTTTCCCCGGCAATGCTCCTGTAATGCTCTCCAATAGATAAACTCATCATTGGTAGCTGTACGCCACCATGCATCCTTGGTGTGCTATTACAGTTTACAACTGGTTGGGTCTTAATCATTTCTAAATTGTTTTTTTTTAAAGAACTAAGCAGGTGAGCTGCCGATTATATTGATAAAGAAGAGGGCTAGAACTGAGCAATTCTAAATTGATTTATTTGGATAAAGGTTTTGGTTTCTCCTAGTTATTTTTAAGTTTATTTAAAGGCAAGATTTCCCACTTCACCAAAGCCTAGGAAAGCTTGAATTTGGTGTTCCAAACAAAGCAGTGATTTATCATTCCATATTACAACAAGTATTATATGCCATCCATTCTCTTGGTAGGGCAACACTGTTTGTTTAATGATCACTTGTGTAGTGACATTATGCCCAAATGCTTGTCTGTTGAAAAAAGTGTCTTTCCTAATAAGAACTAAATATATAGTTGTTTAATGCACTTTTTTATTCCTATTTAAATTTAAACTGCAAAGTTTTTTGAGGAATTGATTTCTCTCCAAGCACTCCAGCAGCTTTCATGTACTAAATAAGCATGTAGTCACTGGTTGCATGCCTCTGCTCTTGATATGTTGAGGGCTATTGTACTAAGGTATAATCACTGGATAGAATGTGCATATCTAGGTTGTAATGTATTATTTAAGCACCCCATTTCCATAGGCACCTGTTAAAAATCACCTCAACAAATCCTCGCTGGATAGAATGTTCACAGATATGTTGGAGTGTAGCATTCAAGTACCCCATTTCCATGGGCACCTTTTGAAGTAAGGGTAGGAGCTCTTCCTTTCAATTAAGACAGGAAAGAGAGTTTTAAGACAGAACACAAGTAACAGCCCTGGCCACAGCAGCACAGTAGACCGGGCGAAGAACATGTAAGGCCCAGCTACACCATAGGCTTAAACACAACCAAAACAAGGAACTAGAGAGAGACGCCTGTTGAAAATCATTACACTAAATCCGTCTGAGTCTTTTAAAAAAGATTGATAACTTTTGAACTCAAACTTTTTCTAAGGGATGTATGTTAAAAATTGTTTCAATACCTCATTAAAACAGACAATAAGTGTAAGCTGTTGCTGTGAGACTGTTTAGAACAGTAGTTAAAAAGCTAGAATTGAGTTCAGTGTGGCCCTCTTGATAAGTTGTAAGATAGTGATGATGAAGGGTACAACTATGATTTGCACACACTACCTTTTCCTGGTGTCTGTTCAAGGGGAAGCAAAGTGGCAAAAGAGGAGCATATTTAACTCCACATAATTTAAAGCAGCTGTTCCCACAAATTTAAAGGGACTAAAGTGGACCAGATCAATGCAAATTGAAATTCTTTCTTTCTTTCTTTTTTTGGGTGAAAGCAAACTCAGGTGGTTTATTTTATCTTTTTTCTTTCTTTCTAACCTCAAAGGGGTCAAAGTCTTAAAGCTACCCCTATTGGTGGGACTAGTTCTTAAGGGGGAAAAGGGATGACCCTGTTCCTCTTTGGTCCACCACTTCATCTGTCTTCTCCTCCAAACCTTCTATTAATCCATTTCCACTGACAAACAGGGAAAAGAGGAATTTGAAAATATAGCATTCTTTTGTGGAGTGAACGTCCTTCGTGATGGAAATCAGAATCAGCTTACTTGGTTATCCTGTTTTAACCTTTTGGAGTCCTGAACGATTAATCTACTAACTACTATCCAGTTGGTTTCTTGGTAAAATTAATTTGAAGCTCAATCCTGTCATAAGGTCATGCATCTTGATTCATTTTCAGCACTAGAAGTAATATCCAGAATTTTTATAGTAATATATAGAAGCAACTGGATGACTAGAGAAATATAGTGTAATATATTATGCACAAAGTAGTCCTATTTGCGCAGCATAACATCGATGTCTCCAGTAATTTATTGGTATCTGTATCACAGAATAAGTTCACTGTTTATATTAAAGAAAGGCTTATACGTTATGCCCATTTTGCATTTCAGTTTCAGTTCCTTTCAGAAGCAGGATGGACATCAATGATTTCCTCGAATGCTCTTGTTTATGTCAGACCATATTCTTCATAACTACATCATTCATCCTCCTGTATAAAATATTCTGCCTCACCTCATGTTGTGTTTTATTTACTTTATGGCTAGACGTGCAAACCATTTGGTCTGTTCTGTTCAAACTATTCTTGTGTAACTTCTGCACATTGGTTACTAACATCTTAATTTGTTATATAGATGCATAACTATTCAATTGCCTTCCAAATGAGAACAACATTACATGTTAGCCTCTTCAAATTCCTTGAACCATTAATCTAAAAGAGAAAGTATCACAATTGAATTTATATTCCTCCAAGGCTTTTCCTTAATTAAGGGAAAGAGTGAAATTGGCTGTTCTTTTGTAAGTTAGCCAGGAATATGGTAGCACTTAGCTTGCACTGAATGGAACCATACAGGTCCCTATGTCTACATGTGTCCCAAAATTTGTCACTTCTCTATGTTTCTGTCATGCATTGGATGACTGCACTCCTAATCTGCTATCCCTGTTATGTGGCAGTCATTTGCTCTTTTTTTTAACGAACGTGACAGTTATTTGCTTATCACAAAAGGAGGAAAATTCTTCTGATTTTTCAAAATAAAAAATAAATCTTCTGATATTTCAAACTATTTCTGTCAATTTTCTCTGTCCAACTTAGATTTGATAAAATGTTACCTGTTCTGCCTTTCTTATCTGTAAGATGATCATCACCATGTGGTTTGTGCCTTCATTAGATTGATTTGCATATGTCATAATGTTACATTGTTTTGTATGCATGTATGCTGATCGTTTAATCCAAATTTCCATAAAACATAGTTTTAAAAGTAATTTCATATAACTGCGGTTTTGGGAAAAAAAATATAACTGCGGTTTGAACTGTCCTTGCACATAAAATGTAAGGGCTGGTCCCTTTCATACCAGTAAGCTATTAAGGCTATGTTGACACTATAACAAGATTAGTGTCATAAAGAGAGAAGTAAATTCAAAGAAAGCTGTTGAAATAGTGCAAGTAATCATTATCTTTAGTTACTTGACTTGAAGAGAGAAAAACCTGATTTCTGAAAGAGATTTCAAGGTTTATGGTACAGGACAGTCCTTTTCTTTGGAGGGGAAACAATAGCACTACCAACATTGTCATTTGCAGGGCTACAAGATAATGGATATTTACCAGTTCACAAAAAAATTAGGAAATTTTAGCAACTTATTGTTTTATGGAATATGGAATTTGTTTCTTTGTCTGCGAGGCTTTCAAATATTCATTTTCTGTATTTGTTTAAGTTAATTTGACTGATCAAAGCCTACAACATCTCTAACTGAAACCAAAAGAACCTTGCAATGAGTGCAAACATTGGGTTTCACTCAACAAAATCCTTGAGATTTAAGACGTTTTGGCGTTAAGAGAGTAAGAAGTTTTATTTCCTTCCTCTTTCAGCTGAAGCTTCCACTGGTAGGCTTCATCGATGCTACTGCTCTGTTTCTTCATCTTGTTGTGCCAGGACCCAGACGTGTACTATTCTGTTTTTATCTTTCCTGTTACTGTTCATTCCTTATTATCATATCAGACGGCCATCTTGTCTTCCTCATCTGATCTGTGTGTGTCAGTGTGTCAAAGAGGGCATCGAATCGAAGTTAAAAGAGAAAGCAACAGCAGCAGGGGCAAAGGAAAAGAAAAAGGAAAGAAGAGCTGCAGCACCAAAAACAAAAGCAAATAAGATCAGGTCCCAACCACCACCATCTCCACGTCTCCTTCCATCCCTCCCAAATACTTTCCCTTGTAAACAAGCTTCACTGCCTCTCAAAGTCTCAAAGCCAGCAGCGTCATCTGATCTCTCCCCATATCCTCTCACAATTCCCAACACCGAGAAAGGAGCATGGATCCAAGGCGCCTAGTATGTCCTCTCTCTTCTCATCACAATGATTTATCCCAGAAGCTCACAGATAGCACCTGGAGACTCAGTCTCAGAGACTGAGTGAAGTAGCTACCATCTCGCCTCGTTTCTCCCAGTCTGCCGTTGCTGCTACTGCTGCCAGAGCCCAGAGCTCGTGGTGGGAGGCAATGGCCTCGTCACCGCTTGCAATCTCGGGGGGACAGCCTACCTGGGTCCCCTATGAGCCAACCAAAGATTGCTCCCAGGGCCTGTGCAGCATGTACTGCCCGCAGTGGTGCTACTTCATCTTCCCGCCGCCTCCGCCGTTCGACTTCGGCGGCCCCAGCCCCGACGACTCCTCCGGCCCTGTCTTCTCCCCGCTTGTCATCGCTATCATCGGCGTGCTGGCGATCGCCTTCCTCCTCGTCAGTTACTACACCTTCATTTCCAGGTACTGTGGCACCTTGGGTTCCTTCCGGGGCAGAGTCTTCAGTTCCCACTTAGGTGCTGGTGCCCGCGGCCGTGGCAACGGCGGCGGCCGCAGTGGAGGCCAAGGACAATCCAGGAGCCAGGAATCGTGGAACATCTCGCCGTCGACCGGGCTGGATGAGACCTTGATCAGCAAGATCACCTTGTGCAAGTACAAGCGTGGTGATGCCTCGGTCCACACCACGGACTGCTCGGTCTGCCTCGGCGAGTTCAGGGACGGGGAGAGCCTGCGGCTGCTGCCCAAGTGCAGCCACGCCTTCCACCAGCAATGCATTGACAAGTGGCTCAAGTCGCACTCCAATTGCCCTCTGTGCCGCTCCAACATCACCTTCATCACCGTGGGCATGGGGATGGCGACGCAGGAGGCCGAGAGCCGTGGTCCAGGCGAGAGTGTTGGGAGAGACGCTGCCCATGATGTGGTTGTGGTGATGGATGACATGGAAATCATGTGCGACGAGCAGCAGAGCATGGCGGGCAGCACAGATGGTGATGGTGATGACCAGGAGGCAAATGGTGGTAGTCCGGAGGGAATGGACGAGGCCGACGGCAAGGCTGAGATCAGAGAAGAATGCCCGCCGCCGCTGAAGTTCAAGTCGGGGCCTTCGTCGTCTGACCCGGACCATGATATCCGCATGTCCATCGCCGACGTTCTGCAGGCCAGCATGGAAGACGAGCTCATGGCAGCCAGGGAGAGCGGCGTCCTTGCAGGTGGCGCCGGCGCATCAAGACGGTGTCACGGCGAGAACAGCAAGGGCGGACGCAGCAGCCGGCGTGCACTGCAGGACGCCATGGACACGAAGCGGTTGCCGCCTGCTGGCCGGTCGTGCTTCAGCAGCAAGAGTGGGAGGGGAAGGGATTCAGATCTTCCGATGTGAGCTCAGAGTTGTTTCAGATTTTTACCTAGGATGCTTACTGGGCAGGCTTTTATTGTTTGCCTGCAAGATGGAATGTCGAATGGAAAAAGCAGGGACCGACATCATAGTCTGTGTGTCGTCTCGTGGCAATGTTCATCCCTACATGTGATGCCAGGGTCCAATAGTTCGTCTGCATTGCTCGGTGAGGCCTCTTCTGCTTCTAGTTGGTAGGCCTTGGATCAGTTCTGTGTTTGCTCTTCCATCCTAGAAGACCCACATTCCATTATTTCAGTGAACATGTTCTTACTGTGAATTCAGTACAAGACTAGTCCAACAGTTTTCTGGTGCCTTCTGGTATTGCCCTGCCATATTTTTTGGGTCTTTTTTTTTTTTTGCTCCTTTCGTTTTTTTTATGGACGTGTCAATGTTTGAGCCTTCGCTTTTACTAAATGCTGAGCACATAGTATGAAAACTGACTCTGCAATGGGCTAGAGGGACCCTTTCTTTGCACTAACACAAATGCAGGAATCCCGTTTGCGTTTGGAATTTCCCATCATCATAGCACATAGCAGTGGTGGACCTATTGCATAACCAGATAAGCATGTGTGCTATAGCTTGCTCCCAACAAGCAACAAAGCTGCAAACCGACGCTGCTTTACCTCCCGGTCCCGGGGTTAGAATGACTTGTTTAATTTTGTTATTACTCTTATTATAATCACGCAGTGTTACTGCATGATCCGTACTCAGATCTTAGCCTGTGACGGGCGATCAGAATCTGATCCCCCTCCACTTTGCAGAAAACAAACCGGTTCCTTTTATCGGCCACGCACCACTGTCCACTGGCCATAGCCTCTCTTTTCTTTAGTTTGTTCCTTGACGCATATAGATGCTGAAGTCTCTGTGACAGGAACGATGCTGGAATCTTAGATATTAGGTGATGCCCTGGCTGGACAACATGTGGTTTGATATTCCAAATCCATGGCTGGGGTTAGGTTACGTCTGGTGGTACTCTGGTCGATTCAACACGAGCCATCTTTGGTCGTTTCAGCTATAACTTTATTTATCATTATCCTTTTTTTTCAAAAAAAGAAAGAAAGAACAAGCTATGAGAACTTTGTGCTGGAGCCACGAGCCCAATACGATGTTTTCCGGTGTTTGTTTAGTAGTTCGGGGTTGCCATGAAACACGGCTCTACTGATATGTCACACTGAAGTGTGGGCATACATACTATACACTACTGTAATTATAAGTCGCTTTGACTTTTCTGGTACATTCATTTTGTTATGTATCTGGATATAATAATATATCTAGATATATAGTAAAAATAGATGAATCCAAAAAGTTAAAATGACTTATAATTTGGAACGGATATGCTAAATTCTAGACTGAGTAGTCTCCCTCTCGGTGATCGGTATCCGTCGCGATCGCACTTGCGGGTGATTTGGATCGTTGCGACCGGCTCGCTCGGCAACGCGACGTGGATTGCTGCACTATTACGCTGACTCCTCTCGGTTCTCCGGCCCGACTTCCACTCGGAAATTCGGATGCTTCCAATTCGCTTGATGCGGCCTCGACCAACACTTGCCAGAAAAGAATCAAAGAGCGATAGGTTCTACACGATGGCTGCACTTCGTCTGGTCTAGTGTCGTAGCTAGGCTTTCGCATTGGCTTGCTCGCTATCGCTAGCTAGGTAATAGGTTGCTGCAGCAGCTAGCGCAGCCGATCAGGCCCACAGTACATTACAATATGCAACGACGCCGTTGGTGGAGGGCAGGCGCGCCGCAGCGCCGGCGAGGGCGGCCATGGCCGTCGGCCCGTCCCTCTTTTTTTCCCACCCGCTTTCCGCCTGAGCCTGTTCGGCTGGGGCTAAAACGATCGTATATGATCGTGGATTATTACTGCTGGCTGGTTTGGTGTAGAGAAAAAAATACTGTTATACCTGAAAATTTACAATCGTTTACGACCAAGCGAACAGTCCTGGACTCGCCGAGAGCTGAGCTGACTCTCTTTTTGGTGTCCGCCGCACAAGAGCGAGGCTGATTTTGTTTTCGTTTCATTTTTCTGTGAGTGAGGATTTCGAGGCTAAACCAGACTTGGATAATTGTTCGAAATTACGCTCTTCGGTCAAGCCCAGTAGGGAGCGGGAGCTTGGTGATCCAGGATGGGCTAAGCTGTACGTTTTGGTCCTAGTTATGGTTCCAGCCCAATGATCTCACGGGCCCACCGGCGGGCTTGTATTAAGAACTTGAGCTCCCGACTGCCCATGGATGGCGGCGAGCAGGTCTGTCAATGGGTCAAATCTATCTTTTACCAATCCAACCCATAACAGATTGATTCTCTTCCTAACTTATGTTACTACATAACTTTATTGTTTAACTCTAACCCAATTAAATCCACTAATTAGTTGAACACACGTGGGTCTTCTATAAAAACATATAGATTTGCACAAGATATATACTCCATCCGTTCCAAATTATAAGTCGCTTTAACTTTTTTTAGTGTCTAGATACATAGCAAGGTGGATGAACTAAAAAAATCAAAGCAACTTATAATTTTGAATGGAGGGAGTATATAAGAGTATAAGTTTGCATGAGGACACGTCAAAAGCCCGACCCAAAATTAAAAGACCAGGTCTACACCCTAGAACTTTATCAAAAGACATTACAACCTATTGGAGACAACTCAAATGTAATAGGGAGCTACTTTGTGTCGATTAGAGTTGCCAAATCAGCATATGGGCCTCACATCAAGAGGCGGACCTTGTATTCATACTTCAAAATTGAGATTTGTTGGATTTTTTTTTCCAAGAAGAAGACTTGTTAGTATGATTCAGAGTGGCATGGAGATACTCTATGCCAACTAGTGCAGCAAGGTCATTATGCAGGCTCGAACAAAATTATAAAGACATATAATAAAATTTGTATTGATAACTAACATTCAATACTAATAAAAATGCACATCCCTGAAAGGCTTTGTTTGTATGGGTACAATTACCTCCTATACATGTGGATTAAAGATCAAAATAAAATAAATATTGTCAATCCCTGAAAGGCTTCTGTTCCATACTTCCATATATATGGTGTCATTGTAGCTTTGTCGGTCAAGTTTTTTTTAATCTTTGGCTATTAGTATATAAAATTTGTAATGTTTAATATTGAAGAATTGTGTTTTCAGATTCACCATAAAATAATTATATAATATACAGTTCTCATGTTCTTTAAAAGTGCATGAATTTATAGGAATTGATGGTTAAAGACAGATTTTTTACTTAACACAAAATCTGGAACGACAACTAATTTAAAGCAAGGGTGTAACAATTTTACAATTACATAAATACTTTTGGGCCTGTTTGGTTCCCTATATTAGGTTGTATTCAGACTTGTGCAATATAGTTTACATGTGTTTAGTTGCTCTCAGAGGCTCTTATGCAGACTTGCATGTGCTCAAAGCAGGTTTAATGTAACATTAGATAGTATGCCAATTTTGATTGTATTATTTCAACAGACCGATGAGGCTCAAGAAAAGAAAATATTCTCACCTCTCCTATCTTCACTAGAATTATAAAACATTACGACCTGTATTAGAGTATGAAGGAGGCTACATGCAACACGATAAACAACGGGAAAATATTTTACCAAACATGGCTTTGCATATGCACGACAACTGAACACTAGAACATTGCATACATTTACGTTGTTTTGGATTGTGCTGCATAAGATCCAATGCAGACTAAGATCAATTTAAGCAACTAATCACGACCTTAGCAAATTCCTTGGCATGTGCACAAAGTGGGAAGGGACGCCACATTATTGTTTCATAATCCACGCCAAGCAAAGCCAGCCTAGTGGGACCCCTACTTTACTATTTGCTTTTTTGGATTGGATAGGCTCCGTTTGATGTTTGATTCCATCTGGCCTGCGCTTCCTATTCTTGCTAGTCGGCCGAATTCAGGGGAGACGCCGCCGCCCGATCGCAGTGAACGCGACAAGGGCACGCACAAGCATGCATGTCGTCGGCAATCACGAACGCGACCACAAGTCCAGAAACGAACCTGCGTGTTATTGCCTGCCGTTACATGCTCTATACCTACGCCACCAGGCTCTCCTGCTGGCCAGCCGCGCACGCACGACACTGCACTTTACAAGAAACGAAAGCAGGCACCCTGCAGTCCATGCCCCCGGCTCGCCTGCATTGCGTTGCGCCGGCAGACCTCGTCGGCGGGCGGTGGGTTTCTCATGCCTAGCTAGCTAGGCTGCCCTGCTGCTCGCCTCCGCGTCGATGATGCAGAGGACATGGTGCACCGCCGCGGCGATGTCCTCCGCCGTCGCCAGGCCGCACCCTTCCTCCACCTGCAGCGCCACATGCGAGAGAGGAGATGAGTACATGTTCGTGACACATGGAATCAATCGCCAAGTCAGGCAAAAGTGCAAAGCAAAAGCCTCCTCTGCCTACTGCGTTGGGGGTCCGGCTCCTGGGCACACAAACACATGATACTCGATCAGTCTTCTGCTGAAACACGCAGCACTAGAAAAAGGCGGCGGCAGCGGCACACAACACGATCTTTCTCCAGCTGCCTGCTCCGCTCACCAAGAGATTCTCCGTGATGGTTCTTTTCTCCTTTACGTACTAGCCTTTAGTAAAAAGAAACGGTGAAAACACACGACCTTTCCTTTTCACTGTACTCCTATCTGCTCGAATTTGAAGGTGTTTCAGACGATGGAGGAGTACAGGGACATCAAAAGCCCAGTGCTACAGCTTGCCAAACGCAGCAAACAGCTTTCGCGCCCTGGCCGCATCTCTGGTCAAAACTCAAAAGCGAGCGCCCATGGCTTGTGCTGCAGTCGTGCTGGGCTCGCAGGGGAAGCCACTGTGGACTGTGTTCTACTGGTCTCTGTATTTGGAGACCAGGCCCAGCAGGCACAAGCCAGCGTGAAGAACAATGGTCTCTGCGTTTGCCTCTGCGCTGGTGCAGTGCGGTGTCATGCAAATGCGGAAATGCCTCTCCCGGAATTTCGGTGGACCTGATGCTACTATCTGACATCATTTTGATTGTTTTTCTAGTATATGATGAGGCAACAAGAGATGGGAGACGGCTCTGTTTTCCTTCCAAGACGAGTACGGGCCTAGTACGTGCAAATCAGTACATGCACAGATGCACTATTGCTGGATGCACAGACTACATGAACATGATCAATTTAGTCGTTACTAGTATCCAATACAGAAACTAATCTGGCAATCTTAACTGAAGTGCCGTATCAGAGAGCTTTGGTGTAAAAAAAATAAAGGGACAGAGAATTTGGTCATGTACTTGCATAGTAGCAGCGGTGACCAAAGTGCATGTTAGCACGGCGATGCACCATTTCAGGCAGGGATAATGAGGCTTTCACGACGACGGTTGGTCCGTGAACAGAAGGAGCAAGAAACCGTTGCTACTCGTCACTGATCAGGAAAAGTGTCGCCGTCGTACCTTGAGGCTGAGCGTGTAGAGCGCCGTGGCGTCGGGCGCGGTGACCACGTTGAGGTGCAGCACGGCGAGGCCGAGCGCCTGCATCCCGGCCACCATCCGCAGCAGCTGCCCGGGCCGCCGCGGCGCCATCACGCGGAGGCTGGCGTGCGCGTCCACCACCACGCCCACCTCCACGTCCGCCACCGCGGACGCGCGGCTCGCCTCCTCAGCGCCCGCGCCGACCACGACAGTAGCGTCCTCCCGCGTTGGCGTGGCGTGGCGCCACGCGTACTGCGGGTACCGGAAGAACCGCGCGAACGGAGGCGCCTGCGGCTCCGGCTCCAGCGCCGACCCCTCGCTGCGCGCCGCGGCATCCGCGCCCGCGCCCGCGCCGGGGTTGCCGGCGGACGCGGGGTCATCACGGCCTGGTGCCGATTGCGCCGCGTCGCGCTCCGCCGCCGTGTCGCTGCGCTGCTGCTGCAGCTTCCGGTTCAAAGCCAGCTTCTGCGCCTCCAGGGACTGCAGCTGCTGCTCGAGCTCCTTCACGAAATCGATGGCGCCGCTAACGATGGACGCCTGATCGCTCTACACATCATCAAAATTTTATTTTTTATTAAAAAACATCTTAAAATTCAGGCTCCTCAGATATAAGAGAAGTGAAAAACATTTGAATAAATCAATCAAAGCAACAGCCGGGGGTGGTAGTACTAGTACATGTAGGCGTGATTTGACAAGAAGAAAAGTCACGGGATGACCAAACGGTAACAGTGCCACTATCTTTTTTTTTGAAACAATAACAGTGCCACTATCTGAATATCTGATTCGCAAGGAAACATTCTTTCGCCGTTTTTTTTTTAAAAAAAAGCACTATGAATCCCATTGTGATCGAGGTTCGAATAGTAGCGTAGCTGGATCGCGTACCCGGTGGACGTAGGAGTCCGGCATGAGCGAGCGGAGCGCGGCGAGGTACTCGTTCATCTGGCGGCGGCGGTTGCGCTCGACGGCGATGTGGGTCATCCGCTGGCTCTCGGCATCCTCGGCGCTCTTGGTGCTCCTCTGCCGCCGCCGCCGCTTCCTCCGCACCTGCTGCACGCCGTTCTCCCCGTTCGCCTGGGACGCCGGCGGCACCTCCACCGGTGCTGCATTGCCGAAGAGGAAGCTCCCCGTCCCCGCAGAAGCGGCGCACGCAGCGGCGGCGGCGGCGTTGAAGGTGTCGTAGACGAGGACGTCGCTGCTGGTCGTGCACAGAGCTTCCAGCGTCATGTCGATCGGCGGTTAGGCGGAGGCCAGAGCGCGCGCGCGCGCACAAGGCTGCAACGGACCTACGCGTCCGGCCTCTTCTCTATGCCGCTACGCTACGCGCAGCTAGGAGCGGCGGCTGCCCTCTTCACCTGCTGCGCGCCCTCGTCGCCTCCCCTCTCCCTAGAAAGAAGAGACACCGCACCGAGCAGCAGCTCCGGCAGCCGGTGCTGGTCTTGGTGCCATCTGCGTGTCTCTACTCTCCAGCGGTGGCGGTGGGCGCGGCACGTCGGAAGCTGCAGATTGCTAGGCCATGCGTAAGATTGCGTGGCTGGCGGGCGGGCGGGCGGGCAACAGTGGACGGCGCAGTAGTTTGGAGTAGCCTGAGGATGAGGGGGCTTTGTGCTTGGGCACTGGGCAGGAAATGGGCGCGGCGGCAGCGGCAGGCCTCTGCAGCAGCTGGCGCGTCGTGGCAGATCTCGCTCGCCCGCTCGCCGCTGCAATGCCTCCAAGAGATTACCAGTTTACCACCGAAAGCTCGCTTTCTTTTGACGTCGCGGTGGAGCTGAAATCTCTGGGAAGCGGGCCGGAGCTAGCTGTGATCTGCTGGCCTTGGCTCGGTTTTGCTCTCTCTATCTCTCTCTCACTGCTGCCGCTGCCTCTCTTCCTCCGCTGAAAAGCGAGCGGGAGGGGGAAAGCGAGAGAGATGGAAGAGGAGTGGTCTCACCTCACCCCACCTCTGCCAATCTATGGAGGCATAGCATAGGAGTGCGTGGCCAATGGGCTCCCCTCTCTTCTGTGCCGTGGGTGATTTTCTGCTCTGGCCGCAGCTCGATATGTGGGAGTCTGGCCGCAGCACAATGCCCCGTTCGCTGATCTAAAATTTGGCTAAAATTGACTGGTTTTATGAGAGAGAAATACTATAGCGGCTGATTAATAAATAGTGTTTACTGAGTGGGATCAGCCGGCTGGTCTGGATGGAACAGACCAGCGAACACGCCCTAATGAAAGTTTTTGAACCATGTATCCGTGCATATAAATGCCAAGTGAAAGTTACCAAACGAACCGTATATGGATGCATGCTGCCTAGCAAGGGGACCCAGAGCTGGTATAGTCCCTCAGAATGACCGGACCGGAATTCTTCCGTGCCAGCAGATCCGTGGTTTTTACGGCTGTTGTGCTCCGTCCCCCTGTGTTTATTTACCAGCCTCCGTGGATATTCACCTCAGTGACGTTTTTTTATGCCAATGCCTGGCATGCTCCCTTTAGTAAGAGCAATTCTATCGGCGGACCAAAATCGTACAAATTGATTATAGGCTTTTGCTAAAATTATCTACCCAACAACAGCCTAAATCCATCAATGCCCCACTTTGCCCCATCACCAAAAACTAGCATCATATTGTACATATAACTTTTTACGAAGAGGATTATTGGAGAAGTTCCTCTTATCTTAAAGAGTTTTGCGCTTCTCCTTGGCCATCCCAAAATTCTGACTGCGTGTGCCCCTTGTCGGACACTGGCTAAAGGCACAATCTTTAATTGGCGCACGTGTTGAAGACGTTGCCAACGCACGGACATGCATCTATTTATACATGATTGGAACAGTGTAGCTGCACAAGTTAGGGTTTTGGGCGTCGGCGGAGAACCGTAAGTGTCCTTCAGGCTTAGATGAAGGGGCCTGGAGGCGATGGGTGGTGACAGTTCGACGGGGGGGGAGCAAGGTGGCGAAGCACCACCGAGTGAGCGACTAGAGACATTCAAAAGGCGGAGTCGGCGGCGGGGGTGCGAGGGGTCCACATCTTCCTCCTCCTATTGAGATTAGAGGAGGGCAGATGCCGTGCGACGAGGGCAGTTGGTGGATGGTGCAGCCGATGGCGATGGCGCGACGTTGGTCGCCAGCGGTTGGCAAGGCCAGCATCAGGCAGGGACGGTGGTAGCGAATTCTTTGATTCTAGCTAGGGGCCGGGTGGACGATGGACGATGGGCGGCGCAACTAGCAATGGAGGTAAAAGGCCGAGGGCGTGGGCTTCTAGGAGGAGGAGGAAGAAGAAGAAGAAGAATCCGAGTGTTGTTATTGTTATGGACCCACGTGCATTGACTAAGGATGTCAAGGTGGATAACAAAATTATTAATAAGTTGTTCTTAGAGGAACTATTTTATTTTGCACCAAATATATTTTTGCAATCACGCAAAATCATGGCGTTTGGCCTATTTTTTATGGCACTCTTGTAGATGCTCAAGTCAAGAAAAATACCCGGTGCAGAGAACTCCCGCTCTGTGCGGGGTCTGGGAAAGGGTGTCAGTGGTAAGCCTTATCCTCGTCTGTGCAATGCGAGAAGACCGCGACTCGAACCTGAGACCTTCCGGTCATAGGCGGTAAGACTCTACCGCTTGCACCAAGCCCGCCCTTCGCTCAAGTCAAGAAAAGTATCATTATTTAAATCACGTGCATTTTTTTAATAAATATTGATTCGGCTTTTTGGGAAGGATTAGTTTGTCTTGATAAGGAGTTTCAAAATATTGAATGTGGCTCTATTTTAAATTTTTTATACCATGTTGGGTTTCAAAAAGGCACTCTCTAATTTTGTGACTAATTAAACGAAGTGTATATATATCCGGTGACATCTTACAAAAAAATTAATGTTTTTCAATATATAATTTGGGGATTAGTACTTTTTCCATTTGTTTACTCGAAAATAGTACATCACAATCACATGTATGAAAAGGTGAAAATGATATAGGACAAACATAGGCACATGGTTTAACAGTGAGCAGAACGACAACGAGACAAGGAGGCCACAATAAAGCGCTGTGTACGCGTACTACCGCACTTTTTGTAGTCTGACAGATCACTTATCTACATAACTCCAGAGCAATTAATCTAGTCATTATGTACTTGCTTACTTCGTTGCCAAATCATAGAACGCAATTAGCTATACGTACAAACGTTATCCTCAATCATATCTTACGTGGCCCTGTTTGTTTCGCTGAAATTTGATTTATGCTGTTGTTTATGTTGATTTGTTGTGAAAGAAAAACACTCGCCCTGTTCGTTTGGGCTGGTTTAACTTATGAACCATGGCTGAAAGTACGGTTGGCTGATTTGATGTGAGAGAAAAATATTGTTCGTTGGCTGATAAGCCATGGCTTAACTGAAAAGTACTACTGAACTAGTACCCGAAAAAAAAAGGGTAGTCCTGTCATTGTCACTGTAGTACACGATCGATCGAATACAGTAACCATACATATCAAGCTAGCTAGCTTTGGTACAAACTAACGAAACAAGCGTGACTTGCACGAACCCATGCAGTGTATATATATGCTGCACCAAAAATCATGCACAAGACGCTCAAAACGATGGAAACGTACGTACTACGTGGGAGCTAGGTCGCCTTGAGCATTATTCTTGTGGTCGTAGTAGAGGCACATGGTAGCTACAGCAACTCCGGGCGACCTTTGTTTACTCCGCCAACTTTTTGGTAGATGCGATGCAGACTCTAGGCTCTATAGGCACGTACTACCTAGCAATAAGCAATATGTTTGTATGTGCAAATTCTATATTAGCAATGTACGGAGTATGTTTGTACTATACTATATTAGCAATAGTACCAACTAGTACCGACAGAGATACCCTTTGGAATGTCTCGTGGGATTGAACCACACGATGAACAGACTCATGCGGCAACTAGCTGACACGACACAGAACACTAGGAAACAATATCACAATAGGATACAAGGCCTTGATTAGATTGTAAATTTTTTAATCTGGATACTGTAGCATGTTTTATTTGTATTTGATAAACTTTATCTGATCATGGACTAACTAGGCTCAAAAGATTTGTCTCGTGATTTACAACCAAACTGTGTAATTAGTTATTTTTTTTACCTACATTTAATGTTCCATACATACGTCCAAAAATTGATGTGATAGAGAAAGAGTGAAAAAACTTAGAATTTTGAGGCAATCTAAACAAGGCCCAACTTGGATAACAATTTAGCAGCTTTTAGGCCATATGATATGCACATTGATTATTGAACCACTTCACACACGCAAATCTTGAGCATATGTAAAGGTCTCGGTCGTTGTCGTCTCGATCTCATCCTCTGCAGATGCAGTGGTTTCGTTCTCTTGCCGTCTTGCATGTATTCAGTACAGGCAAAACCATCGGTCGGATCACATGCATATACTACTAATATTCGTAGTAGTACATTATTAAGGTATCCCCAAATAAAGTATCTTCAGCATTTCCCATGCATCTGTCTATCTATTTATCTATCTATCTCTATAATACACCAGTTAGAATAAATCTACAGCCACACAACAAATACACGCTCCACAGTCATGACCTATCACTATGCCAGAAAACGTTATCAGTGACGCGTGTAGAGGGCTTTCAGTGACGCGTAAAATACGCGTCACTGATGTTGCGTCAGTGATAAGGGCATATAAGTGACGCGTAAATACGCGTCACTGATAACCCTCTATCAGCGACATATCTAGCCAAGACGCGTCACTGATAACCCTCTATCAGCGACGTGTCCAGCCAAGACGCATCACTGATAACTATTTCAGAAAAACAAAAAAAAAACTGCAATGACCCTATATACATCTAATATGACCCTATATATATAAATATATACACACACATCAGACAAGTTCCACCATTTCAACAATCAATTCTTAGTGTAGGGCGCACGCCATCGCGCGCACATGCAGTTACATATTTGAAGAACACAATGCATAGTATGACACATTGGGAGATGTAAACAAACATAAAAGTAGTTCTAGGAGAGTAGTGAGTAGGTTCAGATTTCTAAATTACATAACTTCTAGTTTAAGTTCAGGCTAACATAGCATTTGAGCAGGTTCAGGCTAACATAGCATTTGAGCAGTACAGAATGAGGTGGTGCATCCCTCCTGGTCACTTGATTTTTTCCGCTTCCTCCTATTCTTCTCAGATGGACCATCGCTCTTCTGCTTTAAAGCAACGTCCTGTAATGGCATGGCATCTCTCTATAAATAT